TGAGTACTGTGCCATGGAAGCCAAGAATAGAATTGGTTTTGCTTCTTTTTTTTTCTCTCTTCTTACCCCCGTTCTTCACTTCCCAGTTTTGCTGCATAATTTTACGCAAATCAATTTATTTCTATATTTGTTGGTTGATTTTTTTGATTGCAGTCGTCATCACCACAAGCAATGCAATTTTGTCTGTTTGGATTACTTCTGTTCTCCACATATACCAACAAAAATTCCCGATAGTGTTCCCAATGAAGGCTTTAGTAACATTGTTAAAACACTGCCGATATAATCTGTCCATTTACTACCATTAAAAATTATTTATCCACTCATGTCTGCTAGCTGAAGCGTAGCAAAAAAAAAAAAGAAAAATTTCAAACATGCAAAAATGAGAAAATTTGCAAAACCTACAAAGAAGTAATGTTACTGCTATTTATGGATTTCACCTGAGTAATTACTGGCATTTGTAAGGCAAAAATAATTGTAAAAAAAAAGAAATAAAGGTTTTAAAATTACCTATTAATCCGCTATCATCAACTCTGCTGCTCTATTCAGTTCCCCATCTTTTTTTGTAGTCGAACCGTTGCGTTTTTGTTGCTGTTGCTTCCGATATTCAATGACAAATGAACAAGTACTGCATAGATCATTACAACCATCTCCTTCATTTGCTTCTTTTTGTGGATGACCAAAGTAAGCGCTATGTAGCTACCACGATCATTCCGCAGTTCTTCGCTGTTGATTACTACTGAGATGTTGGTACCTTCATACAGCTTTGGGAATCGTTTAAATTTAACCATTCCAGCTTTTAATTTTCTTTTTGCATCATTATAACCTATGCAAACAACGTTGCTTTCATCGACTTTAAAACTGGTAATAATTACACTTTTTTTCTACACTTACTATAGATTTGCATTGGATTATTTTTACAAACTAAGTTTGGCTTATGTATGGCGCTTTACGTTGACTTAACAAACAAGTTTTGAAAAAGTTTAGTGTACTTTCTGCGACCATAGACAGAGGAGAAAAAAATTGTAATGGAACTTTTGAAATACTCGAAACAGCGACTAATCTAGGCTTGTCGTCTTAAAACAAAGCGTTAGCCGAAAAGTTATGGGCATTGAAGTAAACTTAGCTTTTAAAATAATAACAACAATATTTCAAATTCAATATTTAAAAAAAAAATTCACTAAAAAGCGTATGGGAATTTTTTGATAGCAACAGTTTTCCCACTGTCCTTTTTATAGAAGGAAAGGAAAGAAAAAACCTGGATCGGAAGTTTGAAATTGACAAAAAAAAAAAAGACAGAATAAACTGTTTTCAAAAGCTACTTAGTAATGCCTTTTTCTGATATTACTGTAAAATTAAATTAATCTTATCACTGCCATCACACCAATCGTGTAAAACACAGATAACACTGTTTTGAGATTAAAAAAAACCGATAAATATTCAAAATATATAACCTTTTGCCATTACTTTCTTTCTTCAACACTTCGTTTTTTTTTCCCCCCGACTTGATACGATGACTAGTTCCCCCAACCTTCGTCATCAGCATTTAAAATAAAAAAAAATTGTACAAATTCCTGCTTTATGTGTACACTGATGGTGATTTCACCTGCCATTCTAAAAAAAAAAAGCAATGATAAAATAAAACAAAATTCTTTTTTAAATGTTTCCTTACATTTTTCAAACAAACTTTTTTCATCAAGCATTGATTACTGGAAATCAGATTGACTGTACTGTTTGAGTCGTCATGTTAAATTAGTAATACTAACTGTATTTACTATTGTTCAATAACAACAGCAACAAATGTAACACTTCTTTTTGTGGAAAATTTTAGATGATATAATTGAAGAAAAAGGAAGGAACGTTTGAAGAGGCCAAATAAGTAAAGAAAGAACCTTTTGATAAAAAAATTCAAGTTATTTTCCATCCAAAAGTTTAAACGTTCCTTTTTTTTTTTTTGCTCTCTGCTGCCGCTGTCCAGACCAATCTCACAAAAAGTTAAACTTTAAAGAGACGAATAAGAAAAAAAAAAGACGGAAAAATATAATGATAAATTAGTGCCTTAGATAAAAGTTTTTTTTTGTAGCAAACGAATAATTACTAACGTAATTTTCTTTTTTTTCCATTTTAATCCTATTTTTGGTTTCTTTCGCTGTTGCTTGCTTGCTTCAACAAATGATTTGTTGGCGTTTATCAATGCCTAAAAAAAAAACGTTCGTCAACAACATACAAATATATTGTTGTCAAAGTATAAAATAAAATAAAATAATCATCATAAATAGATAAATAATTATGAAAAAAAAAGAATCTACATCGATTAGATGTGTACAATTTTACTGAAAAAAAAAAAAAAAAAAA